GGTGATGAAGAAATGACAGTTGAATTTTCCCACAATCTGATGAGTAGAGCTGACGCCTTGCTATTCTAACATAAATTCCCATACAAACTCGCCTAGGTCTTATCAACACCTCCAGCGGGACTCGAACCATGACAGTTCAGCGTGTCATCTCGGCACATTAGCCACTACTCCACATTGCCACGAGTGCCCAGATTGCCAATGCAATCTGTAGTGACCCATCTTAAACCCTATTCATTACACCGATTGGCCTCAATACACAACGTCAGATCTGCCCCACAACACTTCTAGCACAAAACATCTCACGCAAAAAGCACTTAGGGGTACCATTCATACTGGCTTCTTCGATCATCAGTCAATCTACTCTCGCCAGCCTAGCCGTGGACAATCTAACATAAAACTAGTCAATCTTCCAACACCAATTAAACGTCGACGTTTACTGGAGAAATCCTCATATGAAAGCACCTCTTCACGACATCACTTCTCTCGTGTCGACTGCTCTTGTTCTCGGCCGCTGCCGATACCTCACATGTGTGCTGCAACATTGGCGTCACTTTGTGCAAATTGCTTCCATCCGATCCGGACTCTTGTCTCAACAAGAACTTGCAGTTTCTCATCCCTGCATCGTAGTACCATTTACTGAACCAACCTCTCTCCTGTTTATCACTCATCGCGATCTTCTTCACACGCTGTCTCTTACGTGGGCCACGTTCCCGTACATAGTTTCTTCCATTTTTTGCGTGTACTTGGAAGATTAATCGGGCTCCCCCAGTGCCTGGGTACCAGAAAAAGTGCTCTAGCCACCGTTTTGTGGAATCCACATATCTGCACATCTTCCCTTATTCCCCAGAAGTAGGGCGGACATATCACGGACACAAATACTAACTTCGCCCGCAATACAACCAATCACCTTTGTTCATCTGATCATTGTATGACTTCAGTATCAACTTCTTCCGTTTTATATATTTTCCATCGGTCGAAGGGCAGGTCAAATGCTGTTGCTCATCCAGAAAGAGTAGGATAACTTCAAACCGAATGGTTATGAATTACTAGATACTGAATAAGAACCAGTGCCACCTTTGCTCGGAGGCGCCGAGTGGAAGATGACTAATGCTCTAATTGGTCTGTACTGTTTTTCATACAGTAGTTGTGTAACTCAGTCCTTATCGCATGAGGGAGACTTCAAATCACAAATAACTATGAATTTTAAACCCACAAGAAGAAATTGGCTTGCCTTTCTGAAGTGGTCAAATTCATTTTTAGACCCTTCCTAACTCCTATTATATGGTTTGGACACTGTTTGTAGAGCCACTTTAAAGTAAGAAGCTTGAAAAGCTCAGTATTAGGGCCAATTAACACTG